TCACGCTTCTTTAGTGTCAGCCGATACCAGGCGGCCCATGAACGCCTTTATGGCCTTTTCAGGCCCCAGAAAAGGCTGAGGAACATATTTCTGTTACAGGGTGGCTCCATAAGTGTAAACGATCATAAATAAATAATCTGAATTGTTTGTTTGGCCATTAAACAAAATATAAGAGATATTCAATCAATACTTTAGTTTTTTTCCAATTGAACAAAAATATTAAAAGTAAGAACTTCATTTAGAAAATCTAAAAATAAGAAGAAAAAATTCAAATGATTTTTAGAAATGTAAACTGTTTGGCGATTTAACAAAATATATATTTTTGTTTATTTTTTCAATTTAGCGAAAAATATTAAAAGCATTCAATTTATTTAAAAAGTTTTCGGCAAGATAACAACATATTTTAAATCTTACATTTATTTGAAAAAATTTCCATTTAATCATGAAATAAAGAAAAATCTAATCTTTAGCCTTGAAAATAAATCTCTGTTCTGATCTTTGAAAATGTGAAAATTAAGAATGATTCACCTGATAAATCCAGACGTCCTCCTCTTCCAGGTCAGCCCTGTGAAGTCCAGACGGTGTCTGACAGCAGGATCACCTGTCTGACGCCCGTGCCGCCCGCCGACCACCTGGGCCTGTATCCAGGTGAGCGCTGGCCCCTGATTGGCCGCTCACAAAGAGGCATCCAGAGCACGCCTGTGCAGTCTTCTGAGCTTTTCCTTTTATTGTCTGTAAAAGGAGTTAAGATCAGAATTAACTACCCCCCCCCCCCTCCAAGGAAAACAAATAGATACAGCAGTTATTTTATGGCCTCAGCTTTTGAGCTGCTGAATGCTACCAATAGTGTAAATTAGTCTTTTATTCATTCCAGCCACAATGTGGAAATGTATTTTATAATTATTTATGTGCTGTCCATGCAGAAAATTCTGGGGTCTGGGAGAACTCAGAGAAGAAAGTCTGACTTTTTCTGACTTTTTTCCCCCCACAGAATTTTCAAAACATGAAAAGAAAAAATATGTAATTAGATTTTTCTGAAAAAAGTCAGAAAAAATATATCCTATTTTTTTTGCCATGTTCTGGGCAAAGTCAGAATTCTGACTTTTTTTCCCCCCAGAAATGAACTAGAATAAATCTCCCCCAGACCCCATATGATGCTTGAAGTGGAAAAGAGGCTGATTTAAAACGTGGGGTAAAGGGACAGCTTTAACTGGAGTCTTTTTTTTAACCATGAGACCTGATAGAAAAGAGCAGATTTAAGCTCACAGAACTGAATTTGTGTGGTGGAAAGCAGAGTTGTGAAGCCTCTGACCTGTTCCAGGCGGCAGAGGCCTGAAGATGGAGGTGTGGAACGACACAGTGTCCCACACCCTGAGCGACATCTGGACCTACACGGACAACAGCACCGGCTACTGGTGGCACTGGCTGGACTCGCTGCCCCACCGCTTCCCCCTGGAGTTCGACCGCTTCAGCACCAGGACGTCCGGCTTCCTGGTGCCGCCGGCCACCGGGAACTTCACCATCTACCTGCACTGTGACGACAAGTGTGAGCTGTACATGAGCAACTCCAGCCGGCCGGAGCACAAGGCCAGGGTGGCCTTCCAGCCCTACTACGTGGGCAGCCACGGCCAGCTGGACTCCCAGAAGTCCCAAGTGATGCATCTGCAGGGCGGCTCAGCGTAAGGAGATGGAAAACGTATTGTTATTCAGACTTTTTAATGACTTTTCTGGCATTTAAAAAAAAACTTTTCTGACTTATTCTGACTTTTATTTTACTTTTCTGACTTTTTCTGACTTATCCTGACTTTTTTCTGACTTATCCTGACTTTTTTCTGACTTATTCTGACTTTTCTGACTTTTTTCTGACTTATTCTGACTTTTCTGACTTATTCTGACTTATTCTGACTTTTTCTGACTTTTCTGACTTATTCTGACTCTTCTGACTTATTGCTGACTATTTCCTGACTTTTCTGACTTTTTTCTGACTTATTCTGACTTTTCTGACTTTTTTTTACTTTTCTGACTTTTTTCTCCGAATGTCTGAAACATTAGACTTTTTTTTTCAATATAAAAAAAAAAAGTCAGATTTCTGAAGAGAAAAGGATTATTTTTCCCAATTTTAATAATTAATTTAGTAATCTGGAAAAAATAATTTAGTTGAATGAATCTGCAAAAAGTCTTACTTTTCTCATTTTTCTGACTTTTTTCTCAGAATTTCCGAAAACATGAAAAGAAAAAAAATCCAGGAGATTTTCTTTTCAAAATCTGAAAAAATAGTCAGAATTCTAAAGAAAAGTACAACATTGTCCAGATTTTACAAAAATATCCTGCAAAATAGTCTGATTTTTTCTGACTTATTCTGACTTTCTCAGAATATCCGTAACAGAAAAAGAAAAATCCAGGAGATTTTTATATATTTTTTTGTTATTTTCTCCCTAATTGTTGTTTTTCCTGGTCCCTGGCGGCTGTGTGGGCAGCTACTACCTGGAGCTGCTGCAGATGGAGTACCGTGGCCATGCGCACATCGACCTGGGCCTGTTCCAGGAGCAGAGCCCCTTCACCCGGGAGCAGACCCTCGACGCCCTCAACGAGGTGCAGCACATCATGGCCGACTACCAGGCGTCTGACGAGGAGCAGGTAGGGCCCCCGTCATACTGAGGGGGGGGGGGGGCAAAAGGAAAAACCCCCCTCCCGGGGGGGGGTTCCAGGGTTTCTGTCCAGGGGGCTAATCTATGTGTTTCTAAATGCCCTGTGGCTTCTTCTTCTTCTTCTTCTTATTGTTAGTATTGCCCCGTACGGGCCCCGTCATACTGAGGGGGGGCACAATGAAATGTATGTGTTTCTAAAAACCCTGTGGCCTTTTCTTCTTGTTTTTCATTTTCTTCTTCTTGTTATTCTTGTTCTTCTTGTTCTTTTTCTTCTCGTTGTTCTTCTTCCTTCTTTTGTTTTTCTTGTTCTTCTTCTTCGTGTTCTTCTTCTTCTTCTTCTCTGAGCGAGTGCAGATCTGCTTCTGTCTGCTCCCTTTAAAGATAATTTATATTAATTTTAATACATCTAAATTGATTAAGTGAAAAAATGATAATTTAACGTAGGATTTTGTTGCTGTTAAAGATCCTGTTGCACTTTTACCTGAATAAAGACTTGAAGTGCATCCAGAGAAGAACTGGACCCAAACCAGAGGATACATGTGTTAAAGAAAGGAGCGTTTTCCACATTTTGAGCTTCTTTCTGGTCTCTGATGGGGGTTGGCTGCTCCTCAGGTGCTGACTTTCGACTCGTGGAGTCCCGCCGCCGCCGTCAGAGAGGTGCAGCGGCTGAGCGTCAGCTGCCTGGGCGCCCTCTGTGGAAGCGCCTCCTTCAGCCTCAGCTATGGAGACGCCACAACCGGTAAGGCTGCCCGCAAACACGCCGGCCTGCATCTTTTATCCAAAGCAACCTGCAAAAAGAGGGTTTATTTCACCCAACTGAAAGCCAAAAGCTTCTATCTGGTTACTGCTTAGTTCCAGATGTCTGGATCAGGAGGAGCTTATAAGTTTAATAACTAGACTTTGTTCTGGTACAGGTAGTTTTTCTTCATAGAGGCTCAGTGGGTTTATCTTTAGATTTAAAATGTTTGTTTAGAGATTTAATGAAATGTTTTTCCTATTTGGTTCTGAGGGTCCAAATGACTTATTTACAACATTTTAATTCCACAATAAGAACATGATTGGTGTATAATGTCTAAAAGCATTTTCCTTTAGATTTCAAACTGTAAAAAAGCAGTAAAAGCTGGAGTTTAAAGATGTAACATTCAACTATAAACATAAATGACACAATTACCAGACACTGGGTGCTCTGGGCTGTCAGGAAACAGGAGCATGTAGAGCTTTCAGATCCTCACGAGCTGGCGTTTGGCCCTCAGGACCCGTCCCGGTCGGCGCCTCGGCAGCCCAGGTGGAAGCGGCCCTGAACGACCTGTGGTCCATCAAACCCGACTCGGTCCAGGTGGCCCGGCAGGAGGCCGGCCAGGTGTCCCACTACACGGTCACATTCAGCTCGGACAGAGGTAGGGTTGTCAAAAGTATCGATACTAAAATGTTGTATCCGGATACGATACTCATTTTCAAAAGTATCGATACCACCGCGCGAGCCCGCGCGCGACACTTACCTGCTGATTTATTTATGTATTTATTTACGTTGTTTATGATCAATAACGAGACGTTAGCCTTGAATTGCTAGCTGCGGCTAATGGCTAATAATAACACGCCAACATTAATCAAATACGTCTGGCTGCAAACTCCGCCCACATCCAAGTCGGCCATTTTGATTACGTCACCAATCGGAAGATTCCAAGCAAGAAAATCGGAATTGCCTCATGGCAATATAGATATTAGTTTGAAAATGGTGAAATTAATCTTTCAAACACTTAATTAAACTCTAAACATATTATTATGTTAAAATAGTGGATGTTACATAGGTTTGTACAACAAGTCCAAACAAGTTTAACCAAAAAATATTTATTTCTCACATCTATGAAGGGTTAGGGTCAGGGTCAGGGTCAGGATTAGGGTCATTAATGCGGGCCACCACACACGATAACATCAGTAACAGGTCAGTTTGAAATTAAAGACACTAACCTTTCAAAATTCAGTTACATTTTGGGGTCTTTGTTTTTATCCTTGTGGTAACGAAAATGGTATCGAGTATCGAGTATTTTCCTGAGTATCGGTATCGAGTTGAAAATGTTAGTATCGTGACAACCCTAGAAAGAGGTAACCCGGCAAATCCGAGTCCGGTCGGGCCCACGGGACCAGTAGAGGCTGACCCTCTCTTCTCCGCCTCCAGGGGACTTCGGACCTCTGGGCTATGAGGTCTTTGGCCTGGACGCCAACATCTCTGTGGCAGAAATCACTAAAGGGCGAAGCAGCATGGAGACATTTACCCTGCTGTGGGGGGGGGTTCCCACAAAGCCCATAGCCTTCAACGCCACTGAATCTGAGGTCTGTCACACCAGCCAAGAAAACGCATCCCAATCCAAAGGGGACAAAGATTTTACACATATTTTTCTTGTTGTTAATAGATTTACAATGTCACCCAGGCTGTAATATTTTATAGTTGTTACATTTCCTTTGGCGACAGTGTAGAT